AGGTAGTAAATGTCAGAGCCAGAAATTAGAATCCAAAGAGTCTGGGGTCAACAAAAATAAATAAATGAGACCTAATTAAACTAAAAAGCTACTGTAAAGCAAAAGAAATAATCATCAGAGTAACTGGACAACCCACACACTGGGAGAAAATATTTGCCAATTATGTATCCAACAAAGGACTAATACTAGAATCTACAAGAAACTTAAATCAATAAGAAAAAAACAAATTATTCCATCAAAAAGTGGGCAAATGACAATGAATAGACATTTCTCAAAAAAAGTTATACAAATGGCCAACAAGCATATGAAAAATGCTCAATATCACTAATTATCAGGGAAATGCAAATTGAAATATGATACCACCTTACTCTTGCAAGAATGGCCATTATTAAAAAGTCAAAAAACAACAGATGTTGGCAGGGATGTGGTGAGAAAAGAAGGCTTATACACTGCTAGTGGGAATGTAAATCAGTGCAACCTGGAAAACAGTATAGAGATTTCTTAAAGAACTAAAAGTAGATCTACATTCGATCTACTAATCTACCAATCCTATTACTAGGTACCTACCCAAAGGAAAATAAGTCATTATATCCAAAAGACACCTGCACGCATATGTTTACTGCAGCACAATTCACAATTGCAAAGATGTAGAACCAACTAAGGACTCACCGACCAAAGAGTGGATAAAGAAAATGTGGTATAGGCCAGTTGAGGTGGCTCATGCCTATAATCCCAGCACTTTGGAAGGCCAAGGCAGATGGATCATGAGGTCAAGAGATCTAGACCATCTTGGTCAACATGGTGAAACCCCATCTCTACTAAAAATACAAAAAATTAGCTGGGCATGGTGGCGCGTGCCTGTAGTCCCAGCTACTTGGGAGTCTGAGGCAGGAGAATTGCTTGAACCCAGAAGGTGGAGGTTGTGGTGAGCCGAGATCGCACCATTGCACTCCAGCCTGGGTAACAACAGCGAACTGTGTCTCGAAAAAAAAAAAGAAAGAAAGAAAAAGAAAATGTGGTATATATGTATATACTACGGAATACTACTCAGCCACAAAAAAGTACAAGACAATGTCTTTTGCAGCAACTTGGATGGAGCTGGAGACCATAATTCCAAGTGAAGTAACTCAGGAATGGAAGAACAAATAATGTGTGTTCTCACTTATCAGCCAGAGTTAAGCCATGGTTATACAAAGGCATATGGAGTGGTATAAAGTCCTTTGGAGACTCGGAAGGAGGAGGATGGGAAGGAGATGAGAGATAAAAAAAACTTCATGTTGCATGCAATGTACACTACTCACATGATAAGTTCGCTAAAATCTCAGACTTCACCACTATACAATTCATCCATGTAACCAAAAACCACGTGTACCTCCAAAGCTACTCAAATACATACATATTTTTAAGAGTATAGGTTCAGAACCCCAGCTCTTAACCACTTCTCTATTATAGTTCCACTAATTGACTTGTTTTGTTTTTGTTTTTGTTTCTTTAGCAGAGACAGAGTTTCACATCAGCCAGGAACTCCTAACCTCAAGTGATCCATCACCTCAGCCTTCCAAAGTGCTGGGATTATAGGCATGAGCTGCTGCCCAACTTGTTACTGATATAATTAATGTAAGATATGGTACTCTTCTCAAGTTTGTGGATGACATGAAAATAAGAGTAAGAACAAATTCATTACTTTACAGATTACTTATCAAAAAGCCTTTAAAAAACAAATAAATAGGAGATTATAACAAGAAAGAATTTGATAGGGGTAAAAGGTAACAGCCTGCATTTCCATATAAGCAACCAATTGTACCTCAGTGGCAGTACTAGTACATAGCAGGTATTTGGTATAAACCTGTCAAATCAATATGTGATTGAATTATACAACAGAGAGAATCTATTAAAAAAAGAGGCTGTAATATACCAAAAGCAAAAATGAACTTAATAAATAATGTTAGAATATGCTGATACATAGTTATATTATCTAGAAAGTAGGTTAAATGAGAGCCTTACAAGACTGTTGGTCCAGTTAGACTAATGCCAGTTATACTGTGTTAACTTCAGAGAACTATACCTAACAGATACTGAAACAAGTTTCAAGTGAAGGTACAGGACTTAAAGCTGTACTACCTGAAGTGTAACAGAAAAATGTTCAAACATTTGTGGAGAAAAGTAAACATGGTAGCAAATTTTAAAATGTAGGATATTGTCATGAAAAAGAAGAATCATGGCTGGGTATGGTTGCTAACACCTGTAATCCCAGCACTTTGGTAGGCTGAGGCATGTAGACCACTTGAGGTCAGGAGTTCAACACTGACCTGCCCAACATGGTGAAACTCTACCTCTACTAAAAATACAAAAAACTAGCCAGGCATGGTGGCACATGGCTGTAGTTCCAGCTACCTGGGAAGCTGAGACAAGAGAATTACTTGAACCTGTAATTCAAGTAATTGAATTGAGGCAAAGGTTGCAGTGAGCCGAGATCACACCACTGCACTCCAGCCTGGGTGACAGAGTGAGACTCTCTCTCAAAAAAAGAAGAATCATTATTATTCTGGAACTCTCTTAAGTAAAACCAACTGACGGAAGCTACCTACAAGAAAACAAATTCAGTGTCAATATAAGGAAGACCTTTCTAACAGATATGACCACAAAAGAAAAGGTAGGGGAAGATGGTGCTACCTCAGAAGGGTGTGACTACCCTAAATCTGATAATAAGAAGTCTATGAAAGATCAGACCAACTCAAAGATCTCTTTCAAACCTAAGAACCTACCATAAAATAAAAGGTGATAAGGCCATCCTAACAAGTTTCATATGGGTTAAAATAGTAATGCTACTCACCATAACAGACTTCAGATGATAAAATTTAAATGAAAGGAAAAATAAGAAAATAGAAGTTATTTGTCAAGTCTGTAAATGGGGAGAGCTCTAAGTCTAAAAGCACTGGAATAAAATTCAAAGAAAAAAAAACAAATTGGACTACATAAATATTTAAAACTTTTACATGTGAAAAAACATTAAAAGGCAATTAGCTGTGCAAATAGGACCCACAGATTTTTGCTCTATATCTTTCATTTAAGGCTCTGCTGTCTGATATAGTAGCCATAAGCCATATGTGGCTATCTGAATTAATTTTAAATTGATTTAGACATTAAAAATTTAGTTCCTCAATTGCTCTCTAACCACATTGCAAATGCTCAACAGCCACTGTGGCTAGGGGCAACTGAGTTGGACAGTACCAATATAAAACATTTCAATCACTGCAGAAAGTTCTACTAGAACTTCAATATTTAAAACAGAATAATTTAATTCAGAAAATTTATTCCATAAGGTAGTAGAAGAGCTGAGAGGTCAAACAGGGTTGTATAGCAATACAGAAATTGACAACAGGGAGCCATTACCATCCCTAAGACTGAGGAGCAAAGTACAAAGTCCAATACCGAAGGTCACCTGGCAAAGGCTAGGGCCATAGTACGTGTCTCAGGTGAGAGTAGAAAGACAAGGATGAGACGCAGACCCTGCTGAATATATATCATGATGTCAAAAAATAAAATAAAGGAGGAGGAAGAAATACCCAGATTTCTCTCTTCTTTCTACCCTCCAAACTCCTACCAGTACCTCCATGGCTGAATGTATGTATACAAAAGCCAGATAATAAAGGAGCCTGGGAAATGCAGCCTATAGGAGTCAGATCCCTGTTAAAAAGGACAGAGCCAAGAAAGAAGAAAGAAGTCTGTGGTCAAACAAGCTAAGACATGGCAAGAGGGACAGGGGAGCTCTCCAAAGTCTCTTTCATAAAGGTACTAATCCCACCCTCATGACCTAATCACCTTCCAAAGGTCCCACCTCCAAATACCATCACATTGGAGATTTGGCTTAAAATTTGCATTAGTATATGAATTTTGAGGGGAAAGAAACATTCAGTCTATAGGAGATATAAATAGAAAATTTAGGAAAAAAACAAACAAAAGCAGCCAACATTTGAAAAATATCCAACTTCACCAGTACTTAAATATAAATTAGAACAATAATATGAAAACAAGATTAAATTAGCAATAATTAATCATTTTCGTACTTAGTGCTGATAAAGGGCATAGCCAGAACAGATACATTCCTAGGGAGATTATTTTCAAAATATTTTCAAAGAAGGTGAGACAATTTTGTAATTTGCATCAACAATTTTAAAAATAATTTGCACTTCTAGACCTACTAAGTGCAGTTCCAGGGATAAATCCAAAGTCCAGCAAATCTAAAGCATGAAAATATTTCAGAAACAACAGATGTTCATTGCAGCTTTATATGATAATATTGAAAAAAAATGGAAGCAACCTCAATGCCCACCAGTAGGTCAATAGGTGAGGAAACTAAAGTATGTCTATATGCTTATTGAAAAATAACCCTTGCTGAGTACTTATTTGCCAGCCACAATGATAGGTGCTTGAAATACAAAAAAGAATAAGCACTAGTAATAGAGACTAATTTGTAACCACTTAAATAATGCTTATGAAAGATTGCAATAAAATACAAACATATTTTTGATATGCCCCATGAACAAAGGTGAATCTAAAAATGAATAAATTGGCCAAGCATGGTGGCTCATGCCTGTATTCCAGCAGTTTGGGAGGCCAAGGCAGGTGGATCACTTGAGGTCAGGAGTTCAGGACCCACCTGGCCAACAACATGAATGGTAAAACCCCGTCTCTACAAAAAAAAAAAAAAAAAAAAATTAGCCAGGCATGGTGATGTGTGCCTGTAGTCCACCTGGTGTCTCAGCAGAGGATGAGGTGAGTCAATAGCTTAAACCCAGGAGGCAGAGGTTGCAGTGAGCCAAGATCATGCCACTGTACTCCAGCCTGGGTGACAGAGTGAGACCATGTCTCAAAAAAATAAATAAAAATAAAAATGAATAAATTTATGGAAGACAAAATATGTTAACAGAATAGTAACAGTGGTTGCCTCTGAGTGGCAAGTTCATACGTTTATTTTTTCTTCTTTCTTTATAGTTTACCTGTTGCAATAGTAAACTGCATTATTGGAATCCAATTCTATTGCCTGTGTGTAACAATCCACTGCAGCAGCATAATTTTCTTCTTTCATGTGGTTATTGCCTAAAATAAAGTAACCAGTATGTGCAGTAAGTATAATATACATTAGAAACATATACTCTAATAGATACATTTTAATCATGGAAACTATAATTATATGAAAGTGAGCCTCATGATTTTTCAGTCACACTGGAGATAAGTTTTATATTGTACTATAGAGTTAATATTATTTAGCTTTCAGTGTGTTTGAATCATTTTAACATTGCAGAGTATTTTAAAAAATTAATGTTTATATACCTTATAAAATCTAGACTTAAAAGAGTAAATGCAACAATTATGACTATCTCATGGCAAAAGTGAATCTCTTCTCACCTTCCTTATCTTCATCTCTCTCCTCCCTTTTTGAGCTGCCCCAGCCCGTTCCAGATGCAACACCCTCCCTAATCACCATCTCAATCTGGACCTGGTCTTCCACTCTTTCCCTGTTAAAACACACATCTGCTGATAATCAAGTTCTCAGAACACTGCTGAGGGTAAGCTGATAAAACTAATCATACCATGATATTGGCTGATTATATTTTTATGTGCTATCCCTTCCAGAGTTATATTCTTTTTAAAAGGGGATTTGAAGAGATTAATTTCTAGAAAGATAGAATTTCAGATACCATGGCTAGCCTGCAAACTACTGAATTTTCAGGAAGGGCATCTGCAGATACATCTGGCAGTAATTTAGCTAAGTTAATAACTGGTCAGCAAAACAAGAGATTTCTATGGCTATTTTTTGTATACCATTAAATGAAAAAACAGCATCCTCTGCACTTATAAGAACCAATGTTCAAACTATGTCTGGGTGTGGTGGCTCATGCCTGTAATCCCAACACTTTGGGAGATGAAGACAGGAGGCTTACTTGAGGCCAGAAGTTCAAGACCAGCCTGGGCAATATAATGGGACCTGCATCTCAACAAAAAGAATAATTTAAAAATTAGCTGGGCACCCAGTGGTGCATTCCTGTAGTGCCAGGTACAGGTACCAGGAGGCGGAGGCAGGAGTATCATGTGAACTCAGGAGGTTGAAGCTGCAGTGAGCCGTGATTGTGCCACTGCACTCCAGCCTGGGTGACAGAGTTAAACCCTGTCTTATAAAAAAAAAAAAAAAGAAAGAAAGAAAGAAAGAAAAAGAAAATATTAGGAACAATGGAGATTAGAAGGAAGGATTTACATCTCAAAGGCGTCTGTGATTCTTTCCAGTTTTCTTAAACCAGAAACTCTCACGTTAGCCTTGTTCTTAATAGATCATTAGCTGCTTAACAGGAAGAGTGAGGCGTAAAGTTTCAAGGAACAAAAACAGAATATTCAAGTTACTGTAAATTAGGAATCAAAAATGATATGAAGAGTGACTGCTAATGAGCACATGGTTTTTGTTTGGGTGGGGGTATAAAAATGTTCTGTAGGCCAGGTATGATGGCTCACCCTTGTAATCCCAGCACTTTGGGAGGTCAAGGTGGGTGTACGGCTTGAGCCCAGGAATTAGAAACCAGCCTGGACAACATAGTGAAATCCCATCTCTACAAAAAAAAAAAAAAAAAAAAAAAAAAAAAAAAAAAAAAAAATTAGCCAGGCTGATGGTGCATGCCTGTAGTCCAAGCTACTCTGGAAGCAGAAGCAGGAGGATAGCTTCAGCCCAGGAAGTTGAGGCTGTTGTGATCTGTGGTCATGTCACTGCCCTCTACCCTGATTGACAGAGTGAGACCCTGTCTCAAGAAAAAAAAAAAAAAAAAGTTCTATAATTGATTATGGTAATGGCTGCACAACTCTGTGAATATACTAGAAATTAATGAATCATACAGTTTAAAGAAGTAAATTATATATGAATTATATCTCAACAAGTATTTTTTGGAGTTAAAAAAATTAATTTAGAGCTTCCCCAAAAAAGAAGTCAATATAAAGCCTCTAAGGAAACTGAGAGGATAACATCATTTTTTATGAATAAACGAAAAGTTATCTACGTTAGCCCAGATAGGTTAATTTCCGTGTCAAACATTTTAATCTTCTGGGTTATTGAGACTTCAATTATGCTGTTGGGCTCTTTGTCTTGATGACATTTTATGATTACATTATTAAAACTGCATTATATGTCTTTTCCTGTGTCACCTCAAAGGTGTAGATATCATAACTTGTGTGTGTACACACACACACACACACATGTGCCACAAATATTATACACATGTATAGTGTAAGTTAATGACAAAACTATTAAATCGCAAAATATTTAACATACAAAACTTCAGGGCTGGGCAGGCAGCTTTGCAGTACAAATCTAGCAGGCCTGACCTGGCTCTCGTCTATAGCTTAACATAGGTGACGTGATGAAAAAGTTGATCACAAATCCTTAACAGTGACTTATTTGTTAAAACCAAGCATGCTTCAATAGCCAACTTGCATAAAATTTAATAATGTAGTAATCAAATGTGCTAGCTAATAAACAAGTCAAGTACCATGTGCCTGCCTTAAATTTCAAAGCAGAAACACTAAACATATGAAAATTAAAATAATGCTGAAAACTCTTTTCCTCTTTTTAAGTTAAAGAAGAATTGGGATCCTAGAGTATAAGTATCAAAAACAGTCAGAAGCAATTAGCCCTTACGATTTGTTCTGCAAGTTTTGCTCACAACAGATCTGCTTCTCTTGAAGCAAGCCGTAACTGTACTGCCCACAAGCCATTCTGTACTTCAGGCTTCTTACTCATCACATTCATTTCTGTTTCATAAATGCCATGTGCACTTAGGACAATCTAGTCTTGGTGCTGTAAATCAGAACTAAATCAATGGACAATATTTTTCTCCACAGTTTCAGAAAGCTTTACTAACTAAGTCATTTTTGTATGAAATATTCACCTTCATCTTTTAATTGGTCAGCTTTTCCCACATCTTCAGGCACTGAGTTTGAAAGGGGCAGAACGTCATTCTGAAATTAAATAAAAATCAATATACTTCCCTTTAGCTACATAAAGAATCATCCTAGAGTACTATAAAGTAAAAATAAATTACCCACGTTTCTAATCATCTGTAACTCCACATCGTGAAATTGAATTCCTAAATAATAGTATTAACAAAAAATAGGGGAGAGGTCCTCTCATATATTTTTTATTAGAAATATGAATATGTGTGATCAGGCGTGGTAGTTAATGCCTATTATCCCAGCACTTTGGGAGGTTGAGGTAGGTGGATAGCTTGAGCTTAGGAGTTCAAGACGAGCCTGGGCAACATGGTAAAACCCCATTTCTACAGAAAACACAAAAATTAACCAGGTGTGGTAGCACGTGCCTGCAGACCCAGCTACTTGGGAGGCTGAGGTAAGAGGATGGCTTGAGCCCAGGAGGCAGAGGTTGCAGTGAGCTAAGATCATGCCACTGTACTCTAGCCTGGGCAACAGAGCCAGACCCTGTCTCAAAAACAAACAAACAAAAAGAATATGTGAAATTTTTCTAGAGAATAATACACAGCTGTGAATCAAACTTTTTAAAAAAATGTGCATTTCCCATATCCAGCAATCCTACTTCACAAATAAAAAAAAATAGAATCAGTTATGTAAGGAATAGGAATATAAATATGATCAAGGGATTGTTTATATTAGTGAAAATTTTGGAACAAAATGTCTAATATCCTATCTAAGATATACCCTACTAAGTCAAAATCATAGTCTACAAAAAATCATTTATAATATGATCATATTATTTAAATATGTTCACACACACATTAAAAAACAGACTGGAAAGATGAGTATCAGAAGTGAAATTGTGATCTTTTCTATCTTTCCATGTTGTCCAATTGTGTTTCGGTTTTTGTTTTTTTTTTTTTTTTTTCTGAGACAGAGTTTCACTCTTTCACTAGGCTGGAGTGCAGTGGTATGATCTCGGCTCACTGCAACCTCCGCCTCTCAGGTTCAAACAATTCCCCACCTCAGCCTCCCGAGTAGCTGGGACTACAGGTGCCCACCACCACACCCAGCTGATTTTTGTATTTTCAGCAGAGATGAGGTTTCACCATGTTGGCCAGGATGGTCTCAATCTCTTGACCTCGTGATCCGCCTGCCTCAGTCTCCCAAAGTGCTGGGATTGCAGGCATGAGCCACCATGTCTGGCCTCAAATTTTTTAAAACAATGAACATATATTAATTTCACTACAAGATAAGGAAACACTATAAAATCCCTGCCTTTACACCTACTATCATTCCAAAACCTCTTTTCCATAAATTAAGTTCAAACTGAAGTAGCTTATGAAAACCAAATGTTAAGATTCAGAAAAATCTTGAATGGCATGGGGAACACAACATATTTTTTACATTTTTGAAAGATCTTTTTAAAATTGTATTGCTTTTAAACTTGACTCTGAGTTCATAAATCAGTCTTTTTTTTTTTTTTTTTTTGAGACTGAGTCTCGCTCTGTCCCCAGGCTGGAGTGCAGTGGCGCAATCTCGGCTCACTGCAATCTCTGCCTCCCAGGAGTTCAAGCAATTCTCCTGCCTCAGCCTCCCGAGCAACTGGAACTACAGGCACATGCCACCATACCCAGCAAACTTTAGTATTTTCAGTAGGGACAGGGTTTCACCATTTTGGCTAGGATGGTCCCAATCTACTGACCACGTGATCCACCCACCTCAGTCTCCCAAAGTGCTGGGATTGCAGTTGTGAGCCACTGTGTGTGGCCTCATTTTTTTAAAGAAATATAATTTGTAGCCATTGGCCTATATAAAAATTTTTAAAATTATATATGTACATATATATAGTTGTTGCTGTTTGTTCATTTTTGAGACAGGGTGTCACTCTGTCACCCAGCCTGTAGTACAGTGGTGTGATCATAGCTCACTGCAACCTCAACCTCCAGAGCCCAAGTGATCCTTTCACCTCAGCCTCCAGAGTAGCTAGGACTACAGGTATGTGCCACTATACTCGTGTAATTTTTTTATTTTTTGTAGAGATAGGTCTTCCCATGTTGTTCATGCTGGTCTTGAACTCCTAGCTTAAGCAATCCTTTTGCTTTTGCCTCCCAAAGTGCTGGGATTATAGGCATGAGCTACCACACTCAGTACTATGTACTGTATGTAAACTACATCCATCATTATCTTTGTCTTAATTAGCGTTTCCACAAAATTGATAGCTCTAACATCAGAAATATATTTTGAAAATTAGACATAAATATTCACAAGTACAAAATCACTGACAAAGTGTATGGGTCTTGTCCTTACTTTTTTAATCATTATCTACTAATCAGTTTTCCTAAACATAAATATTGGAATAAAAATATAGAAACAAAATGAAAACCTTCCTAAGTAGAGGTCACTACTTAAAACTGACTGTAGTTACTCAGAATCTAAATATAATTCAAAGACACATTACCATCCTACAGTACTTGGCTTTAGGATTTGTAGCTTAAATCTTCCAATAAGCCTAGGCAGTTTATACATGGGAAAAAGTGATTTAGGGGATCAGAAAAATAGCAATTGAAAAATAGATTATAATCTCTTCTGTCTTCCAAATTCTTCTGAATTATTTACTAAAATTGCCACCATTTTATACTTTGAAAACTAATTAGCATATTCATTGCATAAATTTGAGTTCACCATGTGGGGGCAAGAGCTACCTACTTTAAATAAACGGAATGAATCCACTTTATATATAAATTTAATTGGGGAAAAAAATAGAAAAGCAGTATTCTAAAAATAAAATGCCCAATATCACAACTAAGTACACTTGGTAAGACAAATAATTTCTTTAATTACAATAATCTTGATGCTATTTCAGATGAATTTTTCACTTTCTCTGCCATACTCTGTTAACAAACACATATGGAATAAAGCCATAGCTGTAAAATAAGACTACTAAAGAATTATGATACCACATATATCACAACTGCAGCTATACTATGCAGCCAGTTTCAATAAACTATATTTTAACAATAGTGAGCAACAAATTTCTTATAATTAAATGCAATTGGGGAGATACAGCACAAAAAAAAAGAAAAGAAAAAGCTTCATTCAAAATCCAAAGGGTATAAAAGTCAATTAAAGCTTCCTGAGAAGAAAAAAAAAAGTTCTAATATCTTTAGTACTAAGTCAATGGTGACATTAGCTAAAGAGTGAGCAAATCTAAGAGCTGCCTCAAGCATGGGCCTCGTACACCTGAGAGCAAAGAAGGTCTGCTTTAGCCATAACCATATCTAGCCACTCAAACAGGGTTCCCTGGGGGAGTTGCAGGCCCAAACAATGAAAGAACCACAGGCCACCTTCACCAAAGGGAAGAAAAAAGGAGTTCCCTGATGAGGAACAGAGATAAATTCACTATCTCCTTATAACTTGTCATATAATAAGTATTCATCTGTTTGATGAATTAATGTATAACTTCTTTACTTTTTTCTAAAGCATAAAAAAAGGGACTGGTTTACTGCCAGGTTGCCATCTTCATTGCAATTCTAACAACCTTTCCGACCAAGAAGTTCTAGAAATAGAGCCTGGAGGATCCAGCCAAGTGTTGTATTGTCAGCAATGTCCACTCCAGACTGAAGTGTGCAAGGTATGTTTCAGCCTCACTCCAGAATTCTTCATTATATACTGAAGCTCAAATATGGAGCTAGAAAACAAAAGGAACCCATGAGGCACCAAAATGTCATGAAGAAACATGTGGGGCCACATGTGGTGGTTTATGCCTATAATCTGAGCACTTTGGGAGGCCAAGGCAGGACGATGGCTTGAGCTCAAAAGTTCAAGATCAGCCTAGGCAACAAAGCGCACAAAGCAAGACCCTGTTACTACTAAAAAATATATATACATATATATAAACTGGGTGCTTTGGTGTGTGCTTGGAGTCCCATCTACTCACAAGTCTAAGGTGGGAGAATTGAGAACTGCTTGAGCCCAGGAGGTGGAGGCTGCTAATGAGCCATGATCACACCACTAGACTCCAAGCTGGGTGACAGAGCGAGACCTGCCTCAGAAAAATAAGAAACAGGTGGGAGGTCACTCATGTGTGGGAACCCTATACTCACTAAAACCTTAGCATTTTTCAGAGTCTTACGGTCTGTTCCCTGAAAAGGACAAAAACCCAAGACCATGTATAAACAGTCCCCAAGAGTAGGGATCAGAAAACTTGGATTTTCAGTCTTAGCTTTGTACATTGACCCTTAACCTTTCCCTGTTTTAAGGAGCCCCATCAATGGTCAAATTTGCTGCAATCTGCTTCAGAAATGATGATTCAATTCCAGAGGAATCTATTTCTGCCTGGCTGCTTTCTAGACATTAAAACTTTTTAAACCTATGTTCCATGTTTTAGGGAAACATCAATTCAGATGATGGAAATCAAAAAAATACTCAGTTCATTGAAATGACATTCAAGAAAAAAATACTCAGATACTATAAAGAACTTAAAAGTAGACTAATACATATCATTAAATATAAAAGAATAGTTATCAATATGAAAATCTAAAGCACATTAAATGAGTTAGCCCCAATTATATCCGTATAGACAGATTATTTACCTTATACACAGGAAGAAGTTAATTACTCATATATTTGGCCCCTCAACTATTAACAACCTATTAACATAAAATTGTAGTCATATTTATATCAGTTAATAATTAGAAAATAATAACAACATACCTTACAGAAGGAATTGGTGAACATTTCTGTCAAAGGCTGTGAAACTGCTAGGTGTGTATCTTCTGAGCTGACCTTAAAAACTGTCTCCAAGCACTGAATTGCAACTTGAAATAAATTTTAATAGTAAAAAACAATTAGCAACTTTAAAAAAGAAACAAGTTTTTTTTCTGATAGAACTGCAATGTATGGAAATTCAGTATTTATGATCACAGAACATAAGGAAAACATTGGTTCAGCTGCAAAGAAATTTCTGTTTATAGACCAGCTATTGAAAGAAAACACACTGATTTTCTTTCCTTCTTCCCCCTTCCCCTTCCCCTTCCCCTTTCCTTCCTTTCTTCCTTCCTAATTTTTTTTAGAGAAAAGGTTTCACTTTGTGGCCAGGCTGGAGTGCAGTGACACAATTATAGCTCACTATTGCCTTGACTTCCTGGGCTCAAGGGATGCCCCACCTCAGCTCCCCTAGTAACTGAGACTATAGGCATGAGCTACATGCTAACTTTTTAATTTTTTTTGCAGAGACAGGGTCTTGCCAGGTTGCCCAGGCTGGTCTCAAACTCCTGGGCTCAAGTGATCCCCTGTCTTGGCCTCACAAAGGAGTGGTTATTGATGACTTGCTCTTTCTTTCTGGCAGCCTTCAACAAGAATAGGATGTAATACATATATTGAGAAATTATATTATAGATGACATTTTTCCTTAAGTGAGGAATAAGAAATCAAGTTGTTGCCAGGTGTAGTGTCTCATGTCTATAATCCCAGCACTTTGGGAGGCTGAGTGAGCTATAATTGTTTTCCTTATGTTCTGTGATCATAAATACTGAATTTATGGTGCCTCCCAGGTGAAGCTATTCGCCTGCCTCAGCCTCCTGAGTAGCTGGGGTTACAGATGTGTGCCACCATGCCCATATAACTTTTGTATTTTTAGTAGAGAAAGATGTTGGCCAGGCTGTTCTCAAATTCCCAACCTCTGGCGATCCACCCACCTCATCCTCCCAAAGTGCTGGGAATGCAGGCATGAGCCACCATGCCCAGCCCACAGCTGCAGGTTTAACAGAGAGTTCAGGGTAGGCTTTACTGAGAAAAGAGATTTGACAAAGACTTGAAGGAGACGGGAGTGCTACCATTATCTGTGAAGACCATTCCAGGCAGAAGAACCAGCCAGAGCAAAAGCCCTTAGGCAAGAGGATATGGTGCATTAATAAAGAGAAGCCAAAGAAGAAAGGGGAAGAGTAGGTGAATAATAGGTCACAGAAGTCAAATTATATAGATCCTTTAAACAATGAGTAAGTAACATGAGGAGTCATGAGGAGTCATGGTACTAAGTCATGTTTTGAGTAGATAAACGATAGAATCTGACACACTCTGTTCTTGAAGATCACCGGTGCCTGTTTGGAACAGCCAATGGAGGGGCAAGAATAGAAGCAGAAAGACCAGTTAGAGGCTATCCCACTAAAACAGTCAAGAAATAGTTCTATCCAGAGGTGATATCAGTGGAGTTGGTAAAAGATCTCAGACTCTGGACATATTTTGTAAGTGTAGCCAACAGGATTTATTGAATGATTGGTTATAGAGTACTAGAGAAAGAGAAGAGTCCAGAATGATACCCAGGTTGCTGGACTGAGCAACAGATAAGAGGAAGCTGACATAAACAGAGATAGGAAATTGCAAATAGAACAGATTTTTGGTGGGGGAATCAGAAGTTCGATTTTGGCAATGTTAAATTGGAGATGCCTATTAGACATGCAAGTGGAGATATCTCATAGGTACGTGGATATATAAGAAGACCTTCAGAAGAAAGGTCTGGGCTGGGGGCATACATTTGGGAAATAGCATATAAATAAGGGGTATTCAAGGCTAAGAAGCTGAATGATATCACCAAAGAAATAGGTAAAGATAATGAAGAGAAGAGGATCAAGCAGTGGACCCTGGGCATTCCAGGTCAGAGAAAAGAAGAGGAATCAGCAAAGAGGACAGAGAAGCAGCAAACAATCAGATAAGAAAGCCAAGAAAGTATGAGGTATGCTGGAAGCTAAGTGAATAAAATATACTGGAATTGGGGCAGGGGCGGTGAGGAAGTGACCATCAACATTATCAGTGGCAACTAATAACTCAGATGAAAGCTGAGTTATTTAGACCATTACATTAAACAACACAGAGATCACTAATGACCTTGATGAGAGCGGTATAGATTGAGAGATAGAGGCAAAGGCTAAATTGGAACGGGTTTAAGAAAGAATAGAAGGAGAGGGTTAGACAAAGCCAAGTATGGACAATTCTTTCAAATGGTTTTGCCGCAAAGAGAGACATACAATTAAGCAGTAATGGTTTGGGGGTAGAATGGCAAGAATAAACTATTTGCTGTTTGTTTTTGCTTTTTTTGAAGAAGGGAGAAATAATGATAAGTTCATATTATGACGGAAATGATCCAGCAGAATATAAACATGTTATAAGATGAAAAAAAACCAAAATAACTAGAGTGATATCCCGGAGTAGGTGAGACAGGTTGGGATCTAGTATAGCAGTAGAGGGGTTCCATTGAGAAAGGAACATGAATAGTTCATTGACGGTAATAGCTAATCAAACAGGCAGGCAGGCAGAGTATGGGGGTGCCGCCACACCCAGCTATTTTCTTATTATTTCTATTTTCTTGGTGGAATAGAAAGCAAGGTAATCAACTAAAAGTGAGGAAAGTGGAGGAGGTTTGAGAGTTTGAAAAGATGTGAGAAAGTGTTAAAATGTTCATCTAGGAAAATAAATGAATGAATGAACTTGGAACAGATAGTGTGATTGCCAGACAACATTAAAGGTCTGCTTTAAGTTCACAGTCTGAATTTAAAGTGGGACTAGTCAGCAAAGTTATGTGTTTTGCTCCATTTATATATGGCTACAAGAGTGGGTGTGAGTAGGTGGATACAGAGCAAGTGGAAAGTTGGATTTAAACGAAGTTGGGCTTTGCAAGAAAGGGAAGGAGATACAAGGGAATGATTATAATGATCAACCATGGAATTTAGGAGGAGTAAGAAGAGATGGGGGAAAAGGTGAGGGATGAACAGACTGCAGGTATTAGTTGGGTCAAGGAATTGCTGGAGTAGGGATTCTAGAGGGAATGAGCTTGGAAAGACAGGCAATAGTGATCAGGAAGTGAAATGTTTGGGATAGAATAGGGGAGGAATGCAATTCTGGTAATGATTAGGTCTCTGGAAGGCTTTCTTAATCTCTGCATACTGACATGTTAGATCAGGTAATTTCTTCTTGTCAGGGGCTGTCCTGTGCATTAGCAGCATCCATGGCCTCTACCCATTCGCTAGATGCCAATAATACCAGCCATCCCCCTCACCCAGTTGGTGAAAATCAGAATGTATCTGAATATTGCACAATCACCCCTGAGTTGAGAACACTGATCTAGGATATGATCAAGTGTTTGAGATCACTGGACGAGGTCAAGAACTGAGAGCTAGGGAACTAAAAGAATCATCTATTAGTATATTGCAATTGCCAAGATCTAAATAGAAGTAGTGCTAGAGAGAGTGACAGTGAGCAGGAACTACAGTTAGTCAAGCAATGAAGCAAATGTCAGTAGATGCCAATTTTTTTTTGAGAGAGAGAGTCTCTCTCTGTGGCCCAGATTGGAGTGCAGCAGCACAATCTCAGCTCACTGCAACCTCCGCCTCCTAGATTCAAGTGATTCGCCTGCCTCAGCCTCCTGAGTAGCTAAGACTATGGGCGTTCGCCACCATGCCCAGCTAATTTTTGTATTTTTAGTAGAGATGGGGTTTCACTATGTTGGCCAGGATGGTCTCAACCTCTTGACCTCGTGATCCGCCTGCCTCTGCCTCCCAAAGTGCTAAGAGAGTGGGTGACATATCTGATGGCAAGACAAAGCTGATGATACATTGCTTCACGGTAGTGGTAAAGCTGGTATTAGAACTGAGGCTTCTTTCCTAAGGCTTTAAAAAATGTCTAGAAGGTGGGCAGACACCTCCACATGATTTCATGTTCAATTAAATTAGACTCACAGAGTCAAAAATAGGGGTCAGTCAAAAACAATTGGCACCCTTTCTGACTGCCATATATAACAAACAGCTGAAGGCACATATTTTTGGCTGAATACCATCCTAAAAATAGGGCATAACATCTTGGTTTAAAAAAAAAAAAAACTCTCAATTTTCTTTCTGGCCCTTAAAAGTTTTATGCTGCCTTTGATTAGAAAAGAAGCATCTTTTCTTAAATGACTACATTTATCTGTTTGCTACAAAGCAATCATAACTAACGTTCTCCTTAGATATCAATCAACTCTATCTTCACAGAATCTAACCATCAAGGAGAACAAAAAAGACCTTAATATTCAATGGACTGATTGTAATGTTCTCCAACTGTGCATGACCTGCTCCTCTCACTGCCACCTGGAAAGACATCATCTAGCCAGACTGCAAGCAGATTTAGAGCAAATGCCCAATTTTTATCTCTACCTCCTAAAAGCATATTCACAGGGAAGGGCTTGCTGAAATTAATAGATGTGTCCTCTTTATAGGAGAAGCAGCTTCAAGATGGGAAATTTAAACTGTACTGTTATTTATTAAGTTCTTCCAAATGCACTTCATTGCAGTAATTAAGACTTTAGGGCTGGGAGGGGTGACTCACGCCTGTAATTCCAGTACTTTGGGAGGCCATGGTGAGTAGATCGATCACTTGAGCCCAGAGTTTGAGACCAGCCTGGGAAACACAGTGAAACCCTGTCTCTATAAAAAATACAAAACTTAGCCAGGCATGGTGGTGTGCTCCTGTAGTCCCAGCTACTTGGGAGGCTGAGGTGGGAGGATCGCTTGAGCCCAGCAGGTGGAGGCTGCAGTGAGCCGAGATCATGCCACTACACTCCAGCCTGGGTGACAGAGCCAAACACAGTCTCAAAAATAAATAAATAAACAAATAATAGACTTTAGGCCACAGGGACACCAGATTCACTGAACCTCCACAAGCCCATCTGCAGAATTCTACCTTGTCATGGTTGTACTGAATTTAAATTTAATAATACATAAACATGAAGAACAAAGATGGTGTCAGGGAAACACATGATGCTATCACCCATGTCCTGTTCAACTTTACAGATTACTGAATGCAATATTTAAAGTTAATGTAAAACACAGGTGAAATGCTCTCATTTCAAGTTCCAAATTAGGTGCTGGTCAGATCTCACTAGTGGTATAATTATTAGACTTTTACATGGTGCTATTACAATGACTCGGGTATTTTCATATATTATTTCTGAACTGGATGCTTTCCTATTAGGAAATGGAGACAATAAGATCTTCAGAGTAAGAACCAGGATTTAAATCTCAGTTTTGTCACATATCAGCTGTGTTATGTTATGCTATTTGACTTCATTTTATTTTTCTTTTCTTTTCGTTTTTTGAGACAGGGTCTCCCTTGTGGCCCAGGCTGGAGTATAGTGGTGCGATCTCAGCTCACTGCAGTCTCTGCCTCCCAGGTTCAAGACATAACAGGACATAACATCTTGGTTTAAAAAAAACTGGAGGAGGCCTGTCTCAGCTTCCCGAGTAGCTGGGACTATAGGCAAATGCCGCCATGCCTGGCTACTTTTAGTATTTTTAATAGAGACAGGATTTTCCATGATGCCACATCTGGTCTTGAACTCCTGATCCTAAATGATTTACCCACTTCAGCCTCACAAAGTGCTGGGATTATGGGCATGAGCCACCAAACCTGGCCCTGGTTTCATTTTCTCACTTGTCAAATGGGGGTAATACTAACATAACAGTTGCGGTGAAGAAATAATTGCCATAATATGAACAGCATACTTCTGATACATAGTATTTGTTCAATAAATGAATCCTCTTAATTTGTTATTAATGAAAACAAAACAAGCTTCTGAAAATGGAAATATGACAACCTTATAGTTAGGCCTATCTCGAAAGATCAAGAAAATATTCTGATCTTGTTACAATAAATCATCAAGTTGGGCTTACAGCTATTTTAGTCTTCATTTAGAATTATAATATAAATTGCACATAAAGAACAGATGCCTACCTTCCAAACTTTCTTGTTCATCTGAGGTGTAAGTATCCATCTGACTTTGTTCCCGTAAGAAACGAATAACTGCATAAACCAGACGCTTGACAGATGACATTTTAGAAGCTTAAACACTTTTCCTTGATAAGAAAAATGAAAACACTGAACTAAGTTAATTTTAAGGAATCAGTCAGGGAAGTCATAAATTACAAAGATTATATGGGTTATAAACTGCATTAAAGGTAAAAAACAAAACACAAAACTGTATGACCTCTCATCTTTTCTCTTTTTAAAGAGTCAGGAGAACACGAAGTACTGTGAAGGCAATAATATTACATATTTTCATTAATACCCAGTGGTATACGAGTATGTTAAATCTTACAATAAGTACAAATGTCTTCAAAACATGTACAGAATAAGCTTAGACTGTCACTGTATGTCTCACCATACAGAAATCCACTAAAGGCCTCAGTACTAAGTTGAGAAGCATTTCATACGGTTGACTAGCAGCTGATCTACACGAAGCATCTTCCTCTATTTCCTGGGATCTAAAAAAGGTATTAATAATGTACACTCTACCTACTTTAGTAGGTTGAGAGTTATTTGATGAGGAAATACATTCGCAAAAGGTTGTTCAACTGGTAAGTGTCGTTCTTAATAAAAATGGCATTTCTATTTAATCAGCAGACATGTCAGGAAATCGCTGCCCAAGTCGATGGATACTACAAGCCGACCGGCGCTCCATGCAGAGGCTGTGCTCTCGTGGACAGTCTGGAAGCTCCCGGTCATGTTCATTCACATGGAATACTATCGCATCCAAACAGTGGCGCAGGGCCAGCCGGCATTCATGGCTTATTTCCACTAAATGGCATCATCCATTTGCTCCCCAGGTTTCCTAATTCAAAGCCTGGGTGTGGTACCCGCCGCTATAATGTTTATTATTTGTGTGCTTATTTTAAAAGCGATGTCAGCCTCTAGGCCACGGGGTCACAAGCACTAAATAAGGCCCCAGGGCAGAAGGTGAAAACAGAAAAAACAGAATGGGGGGTAAAAGGGGTGCAAAGAGGGAAAGAGATGCCCAGCCTCGTCCAGGCTTCTCCCCCTTCCTCTCCCCAGAGCGCATCGAGCTCCCCCTCCATCCCGTCCTCCCTCGGGTACCCAGCCTCGCCTCGGCCCTGCCCGGAGTGCAATGGGAGCCGGGACGGGCCTCGGTCAGGGACAGCGGGAGGCGCACCCTTGCCAGAGAAGCCCCCTTACCAAGCAGAAGGATTTGAGACGACGGCTGCGGCCCCGTGGGGTTCCGTAGACCGGCCCGCCTGACCCCTGGTCCTCGGGGCTGGAGCGCGGCTCGGGATCGCAGCACTAGCGGCGGCGCGCAAACTTCCCCGGCCCCCACGCCGCCCCCAGAGCCCACCAGGCTATGCGCTAGCTCCGGCGGCGGGGTCTGGCCAGCACCGCCCCTGGGGCGGGGCCGGACGCGTGGGCCGGGGCGGGGCGCGGCGCGGGGCGGGGCCGGTGGGCGCCGGCGTGGGGTTGCCGCACGTGGGAGGGCGCTGGCCCGGCCGCCACCGCCGCCGTGGCCTCTGCAGCTAGGCCGACTCGTGACTCCCGGGCGCCCCGGCGCTGCCGCCCGCCTCCCCGCCCGGCGCCGGAGGACCACGCGCCTGCCGCCGCCAGCCTCTCGGCGCTCCCATGATCGCCCGGTGCCTTTCGGCTGTGCAAAGCCTCCGCAGGTACCTCCAGTGCGCGGGTTAACCTGGGCCGTGGGCAGGGTGGGGTCCTCCGCCGGGTGGTCCTGGGCACCCCGACCCAGCCCTTCCCGGCCGCGCCTCTCGGACGCTCCTGGGACGCACCCTCCCCGCAGCTTGCAAGGTAGACCCCGGGGAGGGACACCTGGCGCGGCCACCTGGGGCCACCTTTCCCGCCTCCGCTCCCTCGGTAGGGCGTCCATTCCCCTTTGTTTGGAACTTCCTCAGCCGCAGTCAGTGAGGCTGGTCACAGACGCGGCCCAAAATGAATGAGGATAGTCTGGCTAAGAAAATCATTTCACGTTTGCCCTCCATGCTGAACTGCAGACCTGTCATTAAAAGTGCCGCAGCTGTGGACTCAGAGAACAATTTCGTTTGCCCCTCGCGCCCATGATTAGCATTCCGATCGTTTACATCCACCCCACAGGAAACCTCTTTGGTTTTGTTGCTTATTTCCGTCCATGCTCTCTAACTTCCTTTTTATTTTCCTCCTCCCCGTAAAACAAACATTCTGCCTCTTGCTGGGGCAAATTGACTTGGCCCAAAATGGAGAAAATGATTGCTTGGACACGGCTTTGGGCAGCCTGAGCTGCTGCTTTGGATTGCTTCCTAGCCCTCTAACCACACCCCACTGCAAGCGGCCAGTAGCAAGATGGTGAGGGTATTAAATTCTTTGCACGGATGCACTGGATTTTGGAAACAATGCCGCCGCTATCCCCGTTTCCAAATCTGCCCAAAACTGTAAATCCAAATGAGGATTCAACAGGAAAAAGGAAACGTGCGCTTCTTGTTAGCGATCAACAAAACTACTTTCTAACATGTCAGCATTTGAGCTTTCTACAGTTCCCGCTTGCGCATTACCACTCATCTGTGTGGGAGCTTTGTGTTGCTCAGTGCATAGGTTAGGGAGCAGGCAGGCGACAGTTGTAATTACAAAGAGTTAATGTGATGATTTGTGACCATATTTCAGCCTGTCGTTTTTTGCTAGTCTCCAGGCTGCAAGCGATATTGCTGTCAAATGAAGCTATACCAAGAAATGAAGATCTTCACATAATGCAGGTGTGAGAAGAGGGAATAAATCTTCACATAAGAGCAATTCTCAAACTTTTTAGTCTTAGGACCCCTTTACCTCTCAAAAATTACCGAGGACCTAAGAGCTTCTGTCTGTATGGTATATCTGTCCATATTTACCATATTAGACATTAAAGCTGGAAAAATTTTAAAAGTAGTTGCTAATTTACAAAACGGTAATAAATGGGCTACATGTATAAATAATGTGTTTTTGTTGTTGTTGTTGTTGTTGTTGTTTTGAGACAGAGTTTCGCTCTTGTTACCCAGGCTGGAGTGCAATGGCGCGATCTCGGCTCACCGCAACCTCCGCCTCCTGGGTTCAGGCAATTCTCCTGCCTCAGCCTCCTGAGTAGCCGGGATTACAGGCACGCACCACCATGCCCAGCTACTTTTTTGTGTTTGTAGTAGAGACGGGGTTTCACCATGTTGACCAGGATGGTCTCGATCTCTCGACCTCGTGATCCACCCGCCTCGGCCTCCCAAAGTGCTGGGATTACAGGCTTGAGCCACCGCGCCCGGCTAAATAATGTTTTTAATGAAAAATAATTATTTTCGAAACCGTAACCCACATCAGTGAGAAGAGTACCATTGTGGGATTTTTTTTTCTTTTTAAAATTGTGGTAAGGTATAACAAAATTTACCATTTGAATAAATTTTAAGTGTACAATTCAGAGATACAGCCAACACCACTGTCCATCTCCAGAACTTTGTCATCATCCCAAACTGAAAAACTGCACCTATTATGCAATAACTGCCCGTTACCTCCTCTCTTAAGCCCTGGTTAATCATTATTTTTTCTCTATGAATTTGACTATTTCAGGTCCCTTATATAAGTAGAATTATACAACATTTGTCCTTTTGCATCTGGTTTATTTAGTATAGTATTTTTGTTTTTGTTTTTGTTTTTGTTTTTGAGACGGAGTTTCGCTCTTGTTACCCAGGCTGGAGTGCAATGGCGTGATCTCGGCTCACCGCAACCTCCGCCTCCTGGGTTCAGGCAATTCTCCTGTCTCAGCCTCCTGAGTAGCTGGGATTACAGGCACGCGCCACCATGCCCAGCTAGTTTTTTGTGTTTTTAGTAGAGACGGGGTTTCACCATGTTGACCAGGATGGTCTCGATCTCTTGACCTCGTGATCCACCCGCCTCGGCCTCCCAAAGTGCTGGGATTACAGGCTTGAGCCACCGTGCCCGGCCTTAGTATAGTATTTTTAAGGTTTGTTCGTGTTGAAGCATGTGTGAGGATTTCCTTTTTAAAACTGAATAATATTTCATTTATGTATATAACACATTTTGTTTAATTTGTCAGTGGGCATTTGGGTTGCTTCCACCTTTTAACTATTGTGAATACTACTACTATGATTATTAATGTGCACATATCTGCTTGAATCCCTGCTTTTAATTCTTTGGAATACTGTATATACCTAGAAGTGAAAATTGCTGAGTCATAGGATAGTATTACATTTAGTTTTTGAAACCATACTGTTTTCTTCAGTGGCTGTGCTAGTTTTACATTCCCATTGACAATACACAAGGATTCCAATATCTCCACATGGTCGTCAGCAATTATTTCTTGGTTTTGATAACAGTCATCCTAGGAGTGGCATTGTTTTGCATTTTTGCAAAACTAAAGTGTGACATAATAGAAGGTAACTGGATTCTTACATCTGCTTCTCCATTTAATCTGCTGCAGTTTCATTTTGGTTTAAGAAGACAAAGAAAATCCCACCTCACAATCATATGAAGTTGGAAAGAAGAAAATTTTAATAGCTTTTTAAAGATAATATGGATATTCTTTGATATCACATCAAAGTTTGACAAATGGTAGCTTAAGGGTTAGTTACAAAGTAGAATCTGAAACTATATCTGTACTTTTTTCACACTGTTAGATTAATATCCATTTGTGTACCTTACACTTTGAATGGATTTTTTATCCACGCCTGATTTTTTTAAACATGAAGCATAAGTCCTTTGGAAATTTTAGTGGTCCACTGTTACACAGTTCTTCCTCATATTGACATATTTCGTTACACAGTATCAAACAATCACTTTCCTTAATGTCTTCCCATTTCATCAGAAACTTCTTCAAGTATTGGGAAGCTATCAAGCTCACAGTGGCAGATAGGATTTTCCAAAGTTCTAGTTTTCACTTGAAAGCTAGAATTATATCATTGGCAACGCAAACTGTCAGTTGTTTGACTTGAAGTGACAATCTCACTTTGTTACATTTTTGACAGAATTTCTGTCACATACTTAAGTCTGAATAACCCGGGGTTTGTCTGTAATTAGTTTTTTTCTGGCAAAAATGGCGTTCTATGATCAAAAGCGATTTCAGCTCAAGGTTCAATCAGTTGCACAAGTGCTTTTGATGTGGGCAACCAAATCCTCTGGACAACTCTTATACTCAGGTACACAGCAGAAATGCTTTGTGTGTTCTTGGGCACATAAAAGTCAAGGGTAGAGATTTAATAAAACCCATACTTTTTACCATTTCATTACGGATATTCTAAAATGAAATTGACATTATTTTTAGCTTGAGTACGTGGCAATGAAAAATACAGCTACTAGTACAGTTTGGTACTGTTGCCTCAATTTGTGCTAAAGTACCAGCAATGTTATCCACCATTGCTTTTCACCATCAGTGCAAATGTTCACAGAGTAAAAAGGATAATGTCTTAGTATTATTATGAAAGATTTTTAACCTCACAGACTCTTCGAAAGGGTCTCAGTAACCCCTCCCCATACTTCTACCTTTAAGGTTTGTGGACTACATTTTGAGAACTGCTGATATGTGGTATTAGATTCTTGGTTTATGCATGGAAGAAAATAAATATACTAACAGCCAAAAAATTATTACCTTGTTAGAAGCTACCATAAATATATTAACTATTTTGTTACGTAAGAGTATATCTTGCAGTTAATCATCATATACAGTAGTCCTTAACCCAGGGCTTCCATGACTTAATCCCAGAATCTTCTCTGTTTTAAAATCAGTATCTCTAAAAGAGTTCATATTAGACAACATGGAGGACCCTCTGTTTTTCCTGTTTCCTCTTACACTTAGGAATTTATTTTAGTGTTATGGGAGTAACTAGGCTTTTGCCATAGTTTCCCTTGGGTTTTCTTGTTGGCAGAGCTGCTATACCCACTTCCCAAGGCCAGCTTGGCAGCCGGGATCATTGATGGGGGTGTTCAGCCAATTTCTTGGGAATTAAGTGGACTGAGAATCTGGAGTTTGGATTATAGTTGCTGTCCAATTCACTTTGTGATCTTAAAAAAAAATTACACCCTTGGACCTCTGTCAAGTTACTTATATATGTATGTATGAATGAATGAATGTATTTATTTTAGAGACAGGATCTCAATCTGTCATCCAGGCTGAAGTGCAGTGGGGTGTGATCATGGCTCACTGCAGTCTCAAACTCTGATTTCAAATAATCCTCCCTGCCTTAACCTCCCAAGTAGCTGGGACTGTAGGTGCTTACCACCGTGCCCAGCTAATTTTAAAAAGTTGTTTATAGAAATAGGATCTTGCTATGTTGCTGAGGCTGGTCTAGAATTCCTGGCTTCAAGTGATTCTCCCATCTCAGCCTCTAAAAGTGCTGAGATTACAGGTGTGTGCCATCATTCCTGGCCCAGGTTTCGTACATTGTAAGATGAAAAAAACTAGTCTAAATAATATCTCAGGCTTAAAAAAACAAAAACAAAAAACAACAACTATCTTGCCATAGCAAACCAGGAGAATTCCTCTTCCTACCTCAGTCAGATTACACGGCATGTGAGCAAAGCAAAGCCTAATGTCTACTATAGAACATGAGGATGAGTGACATGGTCAAATGAACAAGCGAGAAGGTTGACGCAACAATATTCAGCGGAAACAACAGCTGTAATAGCCTAGTTTCCTCTTTCAATTAAA